TTGCCCCACTCTCCCTCCTTCATTCGTCGCCTCGGTGGCCCCTACTTGTATACTTGTGTTACGTTTCACCTACCAGTTTTATTAGGTGGTTTCGTGGTGTCTCCGTTTTGGGTTGGTCTCCGTAAATAATTTTACGAGACCACAAAAAACGCTTTAAGTTAAATTAACATTTATTTATTTATTTTTTAACTTTTTTTCTCGTCTTAACTAAACTATTCGATTAACCCACTAAATTCCAAAAATCATGCGCAGTTTCTTGCTCAATATGTATCTGAACTTCAAAGTTATGCAGCGTTTTTTTTTTTCAAACATTTTGAGGTGGCATAAAAGCAGTAGTCATTTGGGGTGACATACATGCTGCAGATGGTGTGAAATCGAGTAAAAGTCGCAAGGCAAGGGGCAGAGGAGAGAGAAAAAAACAACATGCCAATATTTATTTGCATTTTTCCTCATTTCAATATGATTTAATCGGAATCAATCGTCTAACCCAGCGACAGATCATTGGTTTTTGGTTTTTCGCCTAATGGAGTTGAAATAAGTTATGATATTTTTAATAGCAATGATTATAAATATTAAAATATTAAATCGCCGTTTTAATTATAAGCCGTTGAATAATAAGTTGCTTATTTTAATTTGTTCCAGTTTTTTTTTTCTTCGTAAATTTAAAGTTTTAAGGGTTAACGAATCTTGTTATATTCGTATCCGGTTGTTGTGTGACGTCGACATTATTAAGGTATTTGGATAATTTGTGGTAAATTGTGTTTGAAATTTGATGTGGTATATTTTTGGGTGTGGCTTAATGACCTTAAATCAGGCAATACCAATATATAGAACATATTGATTTCAAGAAGATTTGGAAAACAGCAAATGTCAATTTCAGTCAAATTGGTGCGCAAGAATGGCAAGGAATTTTCAAAAGATCTTGAATCAGGACAATATCAGCACTTGGACCCACAGTAGCTCCAAGCTAAGTTTTTCTTAAAACTTCCAAAAATCAAAATTTACAAAAAAATGTTTTTCTTTTACATTTTGTTAGTACACTATGTCAGTGATTTAAAACAAATAAAAAATCTGTAAGTTCGACCGGGCCGAACTTTGAATAATCTCCAACATTTGCGACGAATTTAGCAACTTGCAATAAAATAAAATCCGTTAAAAATGCTGTAAAAATCTCAAAAATACCGAATATAACCGTTATATTAGGGTTTATACGACGACGTAGACCTGCATAGACATAGACTTTTGTCATAAGCCATTACAATATTCAAATGCGAAACTCAAAAAAATAAAATTCGGTGAATAATGTAGCTAAAATCATCAAAATACCGAATATCGGGAGATAACGTTATATCAGAGCTATACGAAGACCTGGACCAGCATAGACAATTTTCTGTCACAGGCTGTAGCATCCATTACGAACTTCAAATACGACATCTCAAACAATTTCGGTGCGTATTGTACCTAAAATCGTCAAAATACCGAATATGTGGAAGGTACTGATATATGGGGCCTATACGAAGACCTGCACCTGCATAAACAATTTTATGACACAGACTGTAGTTCCCATTGCGAACTCTAAATACGTAATTTGAAACAATTCCGTCGAATAATGTCGCTAAAATCATCAAAATACCGAACATGGGGAGGTACCGTTATAGGGGGGCTATACGAAGACGTGGACCTGCAGACAATTTTCTGTCATAGGCTGTAGTTCCATTACGAACTTTAAATACCAAATTTGAAACAATTCCGGTGAATAATGTCGCTAAAATCATCAAAATATCGAATATCGGGAGGTACCATTATATGGGGGCTATACCAAAACGTTGACTTTCATGGCCCATTTTCAATACCAAAAGTCTTGCAGAAATAATGTACACTTAAGTAAAATTTTATCAACCTTCTTCATTTTGTTCGGAAGCTAGAGTGATTTCCATAGACGGACAGACTGATAGACGCACACTTTACTTTGTGGGGTCTTAAATGTATATTTCGAGGTGTTACAAACGGAATGACAAACTTAATATACCCTCCGTACTATGGTAGAGGGTATAAAAATAAATAAATATTGAAAGAGATCATATTTCAATGCCAAAGCCAAACTCGTACACTTCGCATAATTTAAAGTATTTCTCAATTTAAGGCTCAATTTTTTGCCATTCTTCCCACAAAGCTTTCTTCACATCTTCTTTGCAGGATATAGTATGCTGGCGGATTTTTCCATCGATGTAGCTTCATAGATTCTCCATGGGGTTTATGTTTGGACTCTGGGCTGGTGTATCCATGACGTAGGGAGAATTATATATAGCAGCCATGACGGCACTTGATAAAAAAATAATCTTTGCCAAGGCCGATCTTTTCCTTGCAGAGTGGCAAACTCTCTTTCAAAATTTTAAGGAACATAGTCTGATCCATAATATCCTCAATAAAATGCAAAATACCAGGTCAAGAGGCTGAAAATGGACCCCACACCATTACTGACACATCAGCGTTCTTCACAGTGGCTTCATATTGGCCTTTCTCCATACATATGGTCTATCATCTGTACCAAAAAGGTTAAATTTGCTCTCGACCGTGAACCAGTAAATAAAGTCTTAAAGTCGGGCGGTTCTGACTTTATGATACACTACACCACTTTACATATTTAGTAGAGCTTCACATAACAGTTAAAAGTTTTTATGGGAGAATTAAATCATACAAGCTATGATTATAATTATAATTTAAAGTTCAAGATGCATTTCTATATTTTCAATTCGGGCTTGTATTGCCCATTTGGTGAGCAATTAACTTGAAATCGGATAAAGATATATATGGGAGCTATACCCAAAATTTGAACCAATCTCGATAAAATTTGGCAAAGATATTTGTGAGCTGTATTTACATTTCCGTGAATATTGTTCTTACGGAGTGCATTTTACGGCTGTGGGGAACAAATATAACAATATATATGGCAGCGATAGCTAAATCTGAACTGATCTTCACCAAATTTAACATACTAGCTTCTAGACTTCAATTCGGTCGTAAGTACCAAATTTTATCCCATTTGGACAAATATTACACGTTTGGTGCACAATAAAAGGCAAATCGGACAAAGTTATATATGGGAACTTTGTCCAAATCTGAACCGATCTCGATATATTTTGCAAAAGTATTTTAAATATTGTTGTTACAGAGTGCATATTACCACTGCGGAGGACAAAAACAAAAAATCGGATGAACATGGCTGTAGCCATATCTGAACCGATTTCGATCAAATCAAATAGAGCATACTTATTTTCAAGCCTAATTTGGTCGACTGTGTAAAATGTCATACTATTTGGGCTGATATTACATGTTTGGTGCACAATTAAAGACAAATCGGACGGAGATATTTATGGGAGCTATATCTAAATTTTGACCGCTTAGCAATTTCAATAGGGTTCGTCCTTGGGCCAAACAAATGATTTGTGGAAAATTTCATCTGGATCGGGAAATAAATGCGACCTGTACTTTGTTTACAAAAATACTGGACAGCCGGCGGACGGACGGACAGGCATAAATCGACTCAGAATGTGATTCTATGCAGATCATCAAAAGGAACTATGGGTCTATCTCGTTTCCTTTTCTCTGTTACAAACAAATGCACAAAGACATAATACCCTGACCACCTTGTGGTGTAGGGTATGAAAATATTTTGATATGTGCTCCTTGGCAAATGGCAATCTAACTTCTCGATTAGCTCTTCTTCCATTGTAATTCGACGTATGCAGTATATTTCTTATTGTCTAAGGGCAACATACTTTTCCCAAATCCTTTTCATAACATACATCTCATCGCTCAAGGTAAATATTTTATTATTTGCTTTGCTAACTTTGTCATTCCGTTTGTAACTCCTCGAAATATTTATAATAGACACTACAAAGTATATATATATATTCTGGATTAGCGTAAAATTCTAAGGCGATCTAGCGATGTCCGTCCGTCTGTCTGTTGTAATAACGCTATCTTTTGAACGAAATGAGATAGAAGGCTAAAATTTTGCATATATGCATAGTTTACCAGTAGGCGGGCTAAGTTCGTAAATGGGTTATGTCGGTCCACGTTTTAGTATAGCACCCATATAACGGTACTTTCCGATATTCGGTATTTTCATGATTTTAGCGACAGTATTTACCGGAATTATCTCAAATTGCATATTTAAAGTTCGTAATGGGTACTACAGCCCATGACAAAAATTTTTGTATGCAGGTCTTTATATGGCCCCCATATAACTGTACCTCCCGATATTCGGTATTTTCATGATTTCAGTGACAGCCTATGACAAAAAATTTTATATGCAGGTCCACGTCTTCATATAGCTCCCAATACTCGGCATTCTTATGACTTATGCGACATTATTCACCGGAATTGTAACAAATTTCGTATTTAAAGTTCGTAATGGGTACTACACCCTATGACAAATAGAAAGTCGTATGTAGGTTCTCGTATATCCCCCATATAACGGTACATCCCGATATTCGGTAATTTCATGATTTTAGCGACATTTTTCAGCGGAATTATTTCAAATTTGATATTTGAAGTTCGTAATGGGTACTACTACTTATTTAAGTGATACTTTCCGGAAGTTTTTTTTTTTTGAAAATTTTCAAGTTCCTTCCAAATGGTGGGGGGTATTAAAAGTTCGGGTCAGTCGCTTTTTTACATATGACATCATAAATGTAAATCTTATATATTAAAAACATATTTTAGGGTTTAAGCCGTCAAGCACAAAATTATTCTTCATCATAGTTTGGACCTATCTTAATTATTTTTTACAAGTTTTATCGGACTTTTTTGGTTAGATTATTTAAAATATAAATAAGAATTTATTGTATTTTTGCTCGACTTATATATTTGAAACTAGCTGGTCGGTCCCCGTTGCCGGCCCGTACAGTTAGTCTTTAGTGCATATTTTTTAAAGCGTACACTGAGGGAAAAATCCCGTTGCGAAATCAAGCACGTATGTTGTCATTTTCGCAACGACCCGTTGTTATATTTTTCAACAACGGCTGTTGGTGAATTGTGCACGAACGTGCTCAAATTGACACCGAGACGTGGTCAACTTTCGGTACCAACAACAGCCGTGCTTAATTTGTCCATTTGTAATATTGGTAATTGCAGCCGATTACACACGAGTAAAAAATGACAACGGTGGTGCATGATTCACACACGGTCGTTGTCAATATGACACCGGTCGTGTATGAATTATGCACCACCACCTGCATAATGATGCACCACCGTTGTTACTTTGTACACCGACGTGCATGAATCGTACACGATCGTTGCCATTTTAGCAACTACCGTGTATGAATCATGCACCACCGTTGTCATTTTTTTTACTCGTGTGCAATCGGCTGCATATTTACCATTTTTTCCGTGTTATTGAAAGAGAAAGGACGCATTGTGCAAAAAATTTATTGAAAATGAATAATAATTCGCAAGATCCTCAAAATATCATTGGTGAGTTGTTAGAAATCGATGGCAATATTGTTGTGGTTCGCGATACAAACCATTGCAGCAGTCAAGATGCGGAAAACAATGAGGACGATTATATGTTAAGGGAGTTCTTAAAAGGAATAAATATGGAGTCGCTTTTTGAACAATTAAAAGGTAAGTAAATAAAAATGAATTTTTCAGTTAATCAGTGTAATTAACAAAGAATTTTCTTTTTTGTTCTTTTAGCATCACATGTAACATTTCGCAGCTTGCAGTACTTGAAAAAAGAAGATTTAAAGGAAGCAGTGCCACCATTGGGACTGCGTGTTGAATTCAGAGAAAAGCTCTTTGCTTGGAAAAAACGAAAGGTACGTATTATTTGTTTTACAGAGTTGAACTCAGTATTAATATTGTCATAACAATAGCTCGGGATTGATGACGAAACTATGTCAGTTCCATCTAAAATAGGTGAATGGTGGAAACGCAACGAGACACCTGCAAGTACTCCTGGTACTCCCGACACTACAGGTTCGAACTGCTCAAAAGCCAAAGGAATTTTGTCAGAGGTAAGGTAAGAGTAATATTTGTGTAAGCATAGTTAATGTAGTTTTTTTATTTAATATAGGATCTAACGGAATTGTTAACACATACCTCGAAGGGGAAACTAGCGCTTGAATGTAGTAGCGTTAATAAGAAATTAAGTGACGAGCAAAGAGATGATATAATTAATATAATTATTGAAGATATTTTAACCAACAATGTTACTCTTTACACTCAAGACTATATGCGCATATTGGATGAAATTTGTTCCGTTTTTCCTCTTGAAAACGAAATGAGGGTAAGATTAACAATATAAACAACGTATCTGATTATGTAGTTTCTTAACTTATAATATGTCTTTATTTTTAGGATTATTATTACATTTCAAGAAAAGGAAAGAACAACGCAAGCGGAAAACTTTATGCCAAGTATAGAAACAAGAAGTCCAAAAGAATAAAGCTTTTGATTTCCGAGCCTAGCACAAGCAAAGCAGCAACTCACACATCTCCTAATTTTTGTAACAAAGATGTTCCCGAAATTGATGAATCAGTTGAAAATTCATTGAAAGCTTCCTTACTAAGAGAATGTAATGATTGGGGATCGATCTGCGAAAAATGGAAAAGATCTTTTAACATACGGCAAAGAGATATAAAAAATTTAAGTAGCCATACATTTCTCCTTGAATGGACGAAGTTGTCCGATGCAAGAGCTTCAGAATTGGTAAGTAGCCATGAGCTATTTATTTGTATATGGATACTAATGTTTCGTTTTAGGTCAACATTGATTTCGATATTATGTATCCACAGAAAGGCAATCTTCTACTTTCTAAATGGGACCAATTTAAGAAAAAAATTTACAATTATTATGGGAAAAATATTCATAACGAACATTGCAAACAACTCTTCGCAAATGTTTTGACGGCAAGCAGCATAGGTAAATTTTAATTCCTGATTTATCATAAACATTAAAAGTAATATTTATTTTATATTTCGGTTGCAGATGCTCAAGATTATATATACGCAATACTGTTGAATTCAGTTTTACCATCACCTGCTAGGTTTAAATGTGGAAACGGTAAATTACGAAAAAAAGTAACAATAGCTGATTCGCAGGAAAGTTTCGTACTGCGACTACCGACAATTAACGATTATAAAAGGCAAATTGATACAGTCACTGAAAAGTATTACAATGCTGGATTAACTATACAGCCATTTATAATTGTGGAGGGTTTGTCCGATTTCAATATAAAAGGTTTTTATGTTTTTTTTAACCACAATTTGTTAAAATTTCAATCGTTCCTCGAATGTTTAGATACATGTTTTAAAATTTTTCATGCACTTTCTTTAAAATATCCAAATGCCTGCCAAATTCCATGGATTTTTATCCAAAAATATTTTTATGAAATTAATACTGTATATGATATAAAATCAGTTAATTTGACTTCACTTATTAATTTCTGCAACAATAATTAAAGTACAATTCAAAATGTATATTTGCTTTCGTTGCCGTAAGCATTTTGATAAGGCAAATCTTTTAATAGCTCATTTGAAAACAGACCATTTAATGTCCACTAAATTTTTAAAAGTACAATGCGTTCAGGACAACTGTAAGCAAACATTTACAAAATTTACGTCATTCAGAATTCATTTAGAAAAACTTCACAAGAATCACACAAAAGCTCCACCAATGGTTAAAGCCATTAATGTGCCAGTTGAAATGTCATCATCAAAAGAAAATGATTATACAAACAGTGAAACTGTTATTAACAACAATACAATAGAAAAGGATTTAAATGTTTTGAAAAAGAAAACCTTATATCTGTCTTTACAATTACATGGTCAAAGCTATATGCCTAGAAATCATGTTATAGAAATACAACATTCTGTTTCAATTCTGCTTTCATCCATTTCATGTACAATTGAAAAATATATAACTGATCATCCAAATTATGAAGACTTAAGGTACTTACTAAACTTTTGTAAAAATCCTTTCGAAGAAACTAGAACGGAATATAGACTTTTAAAAATTTTAAAAGAACTAAACTTTTATGATGATCCAAAGGTTTATGTAATTAGCAATCAAGTCTCGGAAATTGTTATCAGCGGAAATCCCAGTTTAGGTCCAAAGTTATCCAATATTTATATAATGCCACTGAAATTCATGATAAGTGCCCTTTTTAAAATTCCAAATCTCTTAGATTTGACATTAGAAAACTCCAAAAAATTCCTAAATTCACCTGTTTTACAAAATTTTACAAACGGTGAGTTATATAAAACTAAATTATTAAAATATCAGTACAATTTAGTTATTCCCTATGTCCTTTACATGGATGATTTTCAAATTAATAATCCTCTTGGAACCCATACATTTTCCATATGTGGTTGTTATATTAGCTTTCCTTCAATGCCACAGCACTTGTTGTCAAAACTTGATTATATATTAACTGCTGCGTTTATACCATCAAAGGATTTAAAAGAACGTGGAAATGAAGTTTCATTTCACAATCTTGTAGAAGAGTTAAAAATTCTAGAAGAAGGGGTTGAAATTTGTGTTCAACAAAGTGTTCAGAAGGTGCATTTTATTTTAGGTGTAATTATTGGAGATAATTTAGCAGTTAATAGTATTTTAGGCTACGTGCAATCATTTAACTCTAAAAGATTTTGCCGGGTATGTAGAAGAAAAAAGTCCCAAATGCAATTCGACGCAATTCAGCATTTAGATAGTTTAAGAAACCAAGAGAATTACAACTCAAATGTATTGGAAAATAATTTTCAAGAAACAGGTATTAAAAACAAGTGTATCTTCGAATCTTTACCAAATTTTAACGTCACTGAAAATTTTTGTTTTGATATTATGCATGACATTTTCGAGGGCATATGTGTCTACGATATGTCTAATGTAATTCTCGGGCTGATTCAAGAAAATATTGTTACGTTAGATTGTATTAACAGCAGAAAATCTTTATTCCAATTTGGAGAAATTGAAGTGGGAAATAAATCTGGACCACTAGATTTATGTAGATTGAAAAACTATAACTTAAAAATGACAGCTAGTGAAACTATGTGTTTTACTAATTTTTTACCTTTAATGGTAGGCGATTTAATTCCTTTCTCCAACGATCACTGGAAAGTTTTTATAATATTATTACAAATAATCGATTTACTTTTAAGACCAAGTTATATAGAAGACGATTTAATAAAATTGGAAGAATTAATTAGAGATCACCATTCACTTTATATAACATTATACGGTTCGTTAAAACCGAAACACCACTTTCTTGTCCACTATCCCACAGCTATCCGAAAATGTGGTCCCCTTAAATATCTCTGGAGCATGAGATTCGAAGCTAAACACAAGGAAGCAAAAGCCTATTTAGGAAATACTACATCAAGAGTAAATCCCTGTCGTTCATTATCTATTAAGTCTGGATTGAAATTTTCCAATTTTTTATTAAAACACGAAGATAACTTAGAACCAAATGTTATCATTAATACGCATACCATCGAAGATTTGGCAAAAGAGGAATATTGTTACAAAAAAAGTAAGCCAGTTTTAAATTACCAAAATTGCAAAGTGTCTGATGACATTTTTTTTAAGGGAACTAGGTATAAAAAAAACTATTATTTAGCAACAAATAATGCCGCAATTGAACTTTTCAAAATTAAACATTTAATAATTGAAAATGAAAATGTTTACATTTTATGTAACCAAGTAAAAGTTAAAAACTTTGATTACCATTTACAATCGTATGAAGTTGGTTCTCTGAATGAGGATACAATTTTTTTAATACCAATTTTAGATTTTATTACTTACCCATTTCACTTATATCCTATGAATAATGGAAAAGTTTATTTCAGATTTAAGTTAATTTAATTTGTTTCTATACATTGAATATATGTAATTCGAATTGTTTTGTTAAATCAAATATGTATTTATATTGAATTTATGTAATTGGTTTCGTTCAATAAAATACTTTTCAAAAAATGTCGTTTCTTCTACTAAGGGTATAAAATGGAAAAGGAACGGATATCAAAAAATGACCACCATTGATTTCAATCTGACAACGGGCGTTGACAATCCGACAACGGAGCGTTGACAATCTGACAACGAAGCGTTGACGATCTGACAACGAAGCGTTGACAATCTGACAACGGGGCGTGCTCGAAATGACCACGTATGTGCTCATTTCATGCACATCTGTTGTTGAAATCGTTGCCAAAATCTCGGTGTCAAAATGACAACAGCGTGCTCATTTTGACACCAAACGTGGTTGATACACTATCATACACGGATGTGGTCATTTCATACACGGATGTTGTCATTTTTTCTCTGGGTGTAATAAATCGCAGATCTGACCTATGTAAGTGACACAATTTTTATTATAAGTAATGACTCCATAATAATTTCTAAATAGAAATAAATATTCACAGCAAAAAGTGAAGTAAGAAGAGCAAAAGCAAAAGTAAGAAAGTGATTATATGATTATATAAGGCAAGTCTGTAGTTATTCGCCATTGACGTTTCCTACAGGGATGTTTACAATTGCGCTGCAAAAAGATAAACAAAGGCGAGATATTAATCGCTTCAGAAGAAATTTTAACATTTCAAAGGAGTAAAACAGTTACACTTGTCGCACATGGGCCGAATTCAAGCCATAGTCAAGAGTATTTCTGAGTGAGTGTAATTCATCAAAATAGATAAGAAACATCAAAAAAATATTATATATTGTGCTACTGGTATGAAAATTGCAAACACAAAAATGCTTAAATCTTATTTGAATGTTCCTATTAGACTATTAACTTTTCATAGATTTAGAGAGACATCTATGATTTATATTAGCTTTGTATTCCATCGTTATTAACAGCGCCATCTAAACGAAAAACGTTATTCTTAAATTGGTTGTAGGCCAGAATTGCGGTTATTAAATAACGCCAAACCATTTCCTTTTCCTTACCACAGATGGCGCTAATAGCAAAAACAACAACTGTTGATGGAAATATTGAAATGTATCAAGTCTATGTGGGATCGCATGTTAATTTCGCGTTTTATGAGCTTAATTATCTTCACACCAGATCTTGGGTTAAAAAAATATATTGCTATATGTGTAATCTGAAGACAATCGGACTCTTACATTACATTTTATAAAAGTTAATTCAAAATTTCGACGCTTTTTGGGGGAGGCACTTGATGGAGTGGACCGATATTGTCCATTTTCGCTCCTGACCTAGCACTGATGCAAATATTAGGATTTGAAAGGTGAAGCAAAATCGAATTATCCTTTCTCTTTCTGTGAAGCGAAATATTTTCTTTGAAAATGTTGACCTTTTGTGAGGGAGGTACCAGAAGGAGTGGACCGATATTGCCCATCTCCGAACTCCATCTAAGTTTGATAATAATATTACGATGTACCAAGCTTGGACCAAATCCGATACTCCCTTCGAGAGTTATCGCGAGCACCAAGAGGACGTTTGGACGGACATCGCTAGATTGAACTCAAATGCTCGGAAACGGATTTGATCCAAAGAGACATAGGGCCTGAAACCGTTATTTCGATTAGGCACTTTTTGGCCGCATCAACGTATAATAAAACGTTTTGGACTCTAATACAATGCACTTCGGCGCTGAAAGTAATAACAAAATTTTGTATTCTATTTATATAAGTTCAGCCAATAGAAAAGATATTTTTCACATTCGCTTATTAATAATGCAGAATTTTTGTAAACATTTTTACAAAAGTTGAAAATCCGCCCCAATCTAATCGAACTTTCAGTAATTTTCGAATTCTTAGTGGGAAGTTTTACACCTCCAAAAATATTTAATTTAGGTCCAATTTTCGGTATAACTACCATGCAACGGTACATCCTGATTTTCGGAATTTAGAAGCTTTCAAAATCAGATGTATTTTAAAGTTTTGGAATTCTAAAGCTTTCGAATTCAAATGTAATCAAATCTGCTGTTATTTGGCGTTACAGGTTTTCATGGGATAGGAAGAACTATCCACTGAAAATCTGGAACACCAAATAACAGCAGATTTGATTACATATGAATTCGAAAGCCTAAAAATTCCAAAAATTTGGATGTACCGCTGCGTGGTGGTTATACCAAAAATATTTTTGGAGGTGCAACTTCTCCCGAAAATATTCAAAATACCTGTAGTCCCACTTCCACACTTTTGAATTTTGAGGACAGTCGATTTGTCCATAAAAATAAGTTTTTAAACAGGTGTAGTTGATAAAAAGTTAGTATTATTGAACATAAAATATTAACTAATTTGTCCAAAGTGGAAATGGTGTAGTTACACCTCCTTGTGTGTGTGTATGAATCGTTTAATATAGCTAAGCCCTAAACCACGATAGAACATTGAGGCTAATTCGATGTTAACGATAGTATGGTGGAATAAAATTAATGGTGAAATTGAACTTTAAAGGCGAATTTCAACATTAATGTGTTAACAAGGTGTCACAGCGAGGCCAGCTGCTTCTCCTTTTCTGTCAGAGTACATTGATTAATGGTATTTATCATGGTAGAAGAATACAGGTAGTCGCATCGACACAACTGCTGGGACAATGAACTATCAAATCAATTTTGGAATTGAAAATGTTGAATGAAAAATTATTTAAATTTGTAAAAATTGTTGAAAAACGCGAATTATAATAACCTCCGAATGACATTGTATACGAAAATATATAAAAATCTACTTATATTTGAAAGAACATTTAAAAAATTTTGACATATCAATGTTCCCAAGCGTTGATTGTATTTATGATGAGACATTTAGACCAGCACTGCTCAAAACCGTGAGTTAGCACATGAGTCCAAACAAGTAAAAAAGCTGTAAATTCGGACGGGTCGAACTTTGTATACCCTCCACCATTTGGTTAAAAATTCTGTTAAAATCTTAAATATACCAAATGTGGCTGATATATTAGAGTCTATATGACGACATGTACCTGCATAGGTAACTTTTGTCATAAGGCATTACAATATTCAAATGCGAAACTTGAAAAAAAAAATCGGTGAATAATGTAGTTATAATCAAACTGCAGAATACAGGGAAATACCATTATGTGTTGGCTATACCTAAACGTGGACTTGCACAGACAATTTTCTGTTATAGCCTGTAGCATCCGTTACGAACTTCAAATACCAATTTTGAAACAATTCCGGTGAATAATGTCGCTAAAATCAACAAAGTACCGAATATCGGGAGGTACCGTTATATGGGGGCTATACGAAGACGTGGACCTGCACAGACAATTTTCTGTTATAGCCTGTAGCATCCGTTACGAACTTCAAATACCAAATTTGAAACAATTCCGGTGAATAATGTCGAAAAAAAAATAAAAATACCGAATATCGCGAGGAACCGTTATATGGGGGCTATACCAAAACGTGGACCTACATGGCCCATTTTCAACACCAAAAGTCCAGCAGACATAATATATATTTGAGTAAAATTTTATCAATCTATCAGTCAATCAGTTCGTTAGGAAGCTAAAATGATTTGCACTGACGGACGGATATCGCTAAATCGACATAGAATTTTATGTTGATCAAGAATATATATACTTTGTGGGGTCTAAAATGTATATTTCGAGGTGTTACAAACGGACAGTTGAGCTATAGATATGAGGTAGAACATTCAACTTTTTTTATGAGGCACACTCTTTATGTGGAGAGTTGGTACAACATTGTTATCGATCGCTAAGAACATAGATGAGTTCGGGATTTTAAATATAAATGAAGGTGGTTGGAATATTTTCTACTCTAACATTACACCATGCGAGAAAATCCAAAAGGGAGATTTTGACTCGGACTGGATATATTAGGAGTATATGTAATTTTCATAAAAACTATTGTCTCTGGATGAATAATATACTATGAAATTTACGGTGAAATGTTTTGTAGAATATTTCTTCTTTTGACACATTTCGTCTTAAATGAAATTTTATATTTTTTCAATCATAATCTCCAAAAAAAATCCGAAGAATAATTTATCGAAAAAATAGGGAAATTTTTTTGTGTTTTTATACTCTCAGTCATATGCTCTGCAGCCATACATCATTTGATAAGGCCAAAATGTGCTTCATTAAAATATTGGACTCCGACTCCTTCATGCACCTCCCACACAAATGGTCAACATTTTGAATAACCAAAACGATCATAAAATGCGAATTGAGTATCAAATTCTCCTCAAATCTCACACATCACTATATTTCTGCTTAAAGAAATATCTTGTGTGAAGATGGAATACGGATGGAGATAAAAAACTGCAACAAACAAACGACATATTTTTTTTTTAATTTTTTTTTCAATATTTTCAATTTTTTTAGTGCCAACCTTGCTTTCCAAAATACTCCAGACACAATAGTCCAACGGATTGGTAACGGAGTGGCCATTGTGCTCTGCAAATGAACCTCGAGGAACCTCATTTTGTAATCATTCATGTGTGACGCGTGCTGAGTCCTGCTGGAATGTCCAAAATGTTTGCGTGGCCAAGACTTTAATACACCCTCCAGAATATTTTCGCGATAATATTCGGATTTAATCTGATGCCACGGTCGATTAATACGAGTGGAGAGCGACCATCGGCTGTTATGGCGGCCCACACCATCACCATGGCCGGCGCTTGAGTTATGGTGGCCAACCGAAGGTGCACATTTTCAGCTGACTCTTTGGCAAGTTAAAATTATGGCGTTTGACTTTGTTGCAGTTTCTTTTTAATCTCACGCTGTATTTATAAAATGGGCCATTATTAAAAAACGAACGAAGGTTTCTGGAAAATCCCAGTTCCAGATCTAACAATACTCTCTCTATATATTGGAAATTAATATATTAATTATAACTCCTTTCAATCGAAAATTATGGAACCTGATGTTTGGAAAGATTTTTTAAAATAATCGAATTTTGTATCCCAAACAAAACGGTTTCAGATACAGAAATGCTTAACCTTAGAATATAATGGTGAAGGATATCACAAGTCCGGGACCGCCAGACTTTGGCATTGATAACTTATTTCAGGATGTGTACATGGATCGTACCAAATATCATTGGAATCCGCAGAATGTACAGCTTAAAAGTCAAATGGCTTAAAATCTATAGCTAAATTTAAACCGTAGCTATCGCATAAATGTAATAAGTTTCCCAAACAAATTATGCCCGACCTTATTGACGGACTTAAATCCGAAAACCATTTTGTGAGCTATGCCGAGCACTAAACTAATACACCTGCTCACAATCGTTGCTTGCTCGTATTTTTCGACCAGATATATTCAAAATCACTGGCCCACATGTTTCATTTGATACGTCGCAATACTTGGCCAGATAATTGTTGTTTGGAGCCCCCAAAAGTGAAATAAATAACTCAACTGGATTTAATCCATTTTGAAGTGTCTATAAGTGTTTTTATTATCAGATTTTTGATCGCATGTACTCATTCGAAACTAGGCGTGTGTTTTTTTTTTTTCAAAACAACATTAAATATAGATTAAGATGAGTGTAAAGTCCCCAAAATATTTGTAATTTATGAAAAAAGAAAATGAAATCATAACATGTTAAGGTCCCACTATTTAATATTACTAATTCTTGGAGACTTCTCCTAAGCAGATTTTTGTTTATCAATTTATGTTCCTGAACTGTCAAATTTATCACCATTTTTTGACACTACCTGGCAGTGACGCAATGCCAAGGGTAGGTTTTGATCAGATAACTATTTCTTAAGAATTTCAAAATAAATTTGTGTGAATTATTTGATTGGTAACGGGCTAATGATTTATTAGAAATCAAAACAAGTCCATTAAATAAATTGAAATACATGATAGTAACCATTTTTTACGAAACAAATATAGAGAGGTACCGTTATATGGGGGATATACGAAGGCGTGGACCTGCACAGACAATTTTCTGTCGTATGCTGTAGTATCTATTGCGAACTTTAAATACCAAATTTGAAACATTTCCGGTGAATAATTTGTTTGAATCACCAAAATAC